TTATTCAATTAATTCTATTTCAAAATAAAGTTACCCGTACTTCTAAACACAAAAAAGGTTTGATGTTATATATATTTTAATATTTAATCTTCCTTTTTTATTATATAATAATCAACTTCAAAATCTAACACTGGTCCGAAGGAAACATACTCAGGGACCGCAGATATTCAGTCTAATAAATAGACTATACAATTAAATTTATAAGAAATAAATTGTGATTAAAAGTCAATTTTTTTATATATCAGCGTATTTAAGGTAAAAAAAAAATATATATATATATTTTCTTTTCTTTTATTTTTAATGCCGTTTTATGCTTTTTTTTAATCATATAATATTAATTACATTGTTGTATAATTTTGGCCGCAGCATTAAGTTATTTGTGATTAAAATTATTTTGAATTCTTTGTAATGTATCTAAGTCAAATTATTTTAAGGAATTTATTGTTGGAAAATATAATGGTAATAATATTTTCGGTAATAGTTTTAGCATTTTTATTAGGTTTAATTTTAGGTAGAAATACATCGTACATCAAAATAGAAAATAAGGAATTAGATAAGATAAAAAATATATTAAATGAGGAAAATAAGGAGAGAAACATAAACATTTCTAGAAGTACAGAGAATTTCAGACGAATTAGTTGCTATAGCTGTGGTCAGCCAGGCCATATGTCGCGTGATTGTGATTTAACAAAGGATTTGAAATGCGCGAGATGTGGCAGGAATGACCATTTAGCTATAGGATGTAGATTAAACAATATGATTGTGAGATGTAATATTTGTGGCCAGGATGGACACACTCAAGATAAATGTAACAAATGACTAAGAAAGAAATATTTTAATAATGAATTTTGTAATAATAATAATTTTTTTAATGTTGATAATTTAGTAGCAAATAAGAATAAATATTTTAATTTTAATAATAAATTTGGTATTAATAGTTTTTCTAATTTTAGTTCAGGTAAGAATAAGCATTTTAATTTTAATGATAGATTTGATAATTATAATTATTTTTTTAATGTTAATAATTGTAGTAAAAATAAGTATTTTAATTTTAATAATGATAATTTGGATAAGGTTGATAGTGTTAGTGCAAATAAGAATAATTATTGTAAAATGAACGATAAATTTTGTGATAATAAAAAGTATTTTAACGTTGATAATTATAATTCAAGCGATATTAATAGAAGTGATATAAAAATAAAAAGTAGAGATTTTGAAATATTTACTAGATACAGGAGCAGAAATTAGTTTGATAAGTATTAAGGATTTTATGAGATTTTGGCCAGAGAAAGAATTTGTTACAAAAAAGATAAGAGCCAAACAATTGGATGGTAGAGTGGTAAAAATTTTAGGGTATTATAGGGTAAGGTTACCAGGAGTTAATAAAAGTATAAATTTGTGGATAACTACGTTGAAGATTGAACCAATTTTAGGTTGGTGTGATATAAGAACGTTAGGTCCAGTTTATAATTGGTGGAATTTTTTCGAAACTATCCCTGTAGGTAATGATGAAAATAGTGAAATAATAAGGAGTGATTTCGAGAAAATTAAATTACCTAGTATAGAAGATAAACAAGAATTAGTTCTCGATAAACTTAGAAATCGAACAACAGAATTTATTGATAATAGTGAAATAATAAGGTAGTGAAATAATAAGGAGTAATTTTGAGAAAATTAAATTACCTAGTATAGAAGATAAACAAGAATTAGTTCTCGATAAACTTAGAAATCGAACAACAGAATTTATTGATAATAGTGAAATAATAAGGAGTGATTTCGATAGATTTAAGTTACCTATTATAGAGGATAAACAAGAATTAGTTCTCGATCTTAAAAATCGAACACCATTTTTGTAAATATAGAGTCAAAGAGAATAAGATGTCAAAAGATATAAATTCTATTGAGGTAACACCAATCGAAATCAACAGACAGAGAGGTAAAGCAGCAGAACAGGAAGAGATGGTCGAAAATAAAAACAGCAATGAAATAAGTATCATTTTAGATCAACATTTGGAGGTTTTTAAAGAAGAGTTGGGTACATTAAAAAATGTGGAAATAGATATAAAATTATTAGAGAATTACCAGGCTAAATTTTGTGCAGAAAGAAGATTGCCATTTTCTTGGATAGAAGAGATTAATACAGAATTAAATAAATGGTTAAAAGAAGGTATAATAAAACCGATAGTACATAGCGAATGGGCAACACCGTTAGTGCCAGTAAGAAAACCTGATAATAGTCTAAGGCTATGCATAGATTATAGGATTTCACTAAATCCTTGGATTATAACGGTAAAGTATCCTTTACCGAGAATAGAACAACTGTTGGCGAATTTGAAAGGAGCGATTTTTTTCTCGAAGATAGATTTCTCTAATGCGTATTTACAGATTAAAGTTAATGAGAATACAAGTAAAATGTTAACGATAACAACACATAGAGGTTTATTTGCGTTTTGTAGGCTACCATTTGGTTTAAAAGTTTCGGCGCCAATTTTTCAAAGGACTATGACGGCGTTATTTCAGGGAATAAAAGGAGTAATGTATTATTTAGATGATGTTCTGATATCGGGTAAAACAGAAGAAGAGCACAATACTAGATTGGTTAAAGTGTTAGATATAATATTGGAAAATGGTTTAAGAGCCAATATGAATAAGAGTGTTTTTGGAGTAAAAGAAATTAAGTATTTAGGACATATTATTAAGGGTAATGAAATTACGCCAATTGCAAAGAATATAGATAAGATAATGAATATGAGAGCCCCGATTAATAAAACGGAAGTACAGGCGTTTTTAGGAGCTACGAATTATTATCATCGGTTTGTTCAAAATTTTGCAGAAATTGCCACACCTTGTATGTTTATTAAAGAGAAATAAAAAGTTTGAATGGGGAGAAGCACAGGAGAAAAGTTTCGAAAGATTGAAAATAAAGATGGTAGAGAAACCTATATTAAATTGTTTTAATGAGAATTTAGATATTATATTAGCAGTTGATGCGTCCAATGAAGGTATAGGAGGAGTATTGTTACAGATGATTGATAATATAGAGAAGCCTATTTTATTTTTGTCAAGACAGTTAAATAAGGCAGAAAAAAATTATTCGACTATAGAAAAGGAAGCGTTAGCAGTAAAGTTTGGTCTAATTAAATGTAGAGAGTATTTATTGGGCCGAAAGTTTTTGTTATATACTGATCACAAACCGTTGGTAGGACTATTTAGAAAAGATAATAAAGAGTTAATGATTTCGCCCAGGTTACAAAAATGGTTGTTATTGGTAGGTAATTTTGATTTTGAAATTAGATATAGAGAAGGTAAATTAAATTGTTTACCAGATATTTTATCAAGATTATTCATAAAAGAAACAGAAGAGGAAGAAAGTGAGTCCAAAACCAATAATGTAGAAATATGTTTAGCAGAAGAGGAAGTTAATAATATTATAAGATCTTTGAAAGTAGATACTAGAGAGAAACCGATAACTTTGGAACTGGTAGATAATGTATCTAAACAAGATGAAGAATTAATGAGAATTAAAGCATGTTTGAAAGGAGACATAGAATGGAAAAATTAGGACAAAGCATTCAAAAGAGTTAAGAATGAATTAAATATTGAAGGCAATTGTCTGATGAGAGGATATCGTGTAGTAATTCCATGGAAGTTAAGAAAAGATATTTTAGCAACGATACATACAGGACACCAAGGTATAGAAAGGATGAAAAATATAGCACGGGAATATATTTGGTGGCCCCAAATGAATAGGGAAATAGTAAGTTTAGCTAGAAGTTGTGATACCTGTAACATGTGGGCAAATGTACCAGCAAATAATAAAACAGATAAATGGACAGAAACAGAGATTCCAGGGAAAAGAATACATGTAGATTTTTTAGAATATGAAAAAAGAAAATATTTTATCATGGTAGATGCTGGATCGAAATGGATAGATTCTCAACAGGTGTCAGGTTTAACGACAAGAGTAGCCTTGACGAGAATAAAGGATTTTGTAGGTAAGTTTGGAGTAATGGAAACTTTAGTTTCGGATGGAGGACCAGCGTTTAAAGGTAGATTGTTTGACCAATTTTGTGAAAGGTGGAATATTAAGCATTTATTATCGCCACCACATTACCCGAGAAGTAATGGACAGGCCGAGAGAATGGTTTCCATTGTAAAAAGCTGGCTTAAGAAAGAAAAATATGGAGAAGGAAAATGGTGGTTATTGTTATTAGCTTACAATAACACTAAGACAGTCAAAGAGAAGTCACCCGAGGAGATATTTTTAAGTAGAAAAACAAGAACGGAATTAGATTTTTTGAAAAAATAAATAAAACAAAAAGATAATACATATGAGGAGAAATTTAAGGTTGGAGGCTTAGTTTGGATTCTTATGTTTGATGGTCCAATTAAATGGGGGAAGGGAATAGTAAAGAGAAATTTAGGAAGAAAAGGAGTTACGGTAGAAATTGAAGGACAAAAGGGAACTTGGTCTAGACATATCAAACAAGTAAGACCTAGATACTTAGAGCAATGATATTGGAGATAATTATAGATAGAATGTTTTAGGATTAAGGAAAATATATATATAATGAGATGGAAATTGATGATAGACATAATTATGAGAATCATAATTTCTGACGATATGGAATTGATGATAGACATAATAATGAGAATCATAATTCTAAGGATGATAAATTGATGAAGGACATAGTTATGAGAATCATAATTTATAGAGGAATAAAATAATTACGAGAATATGAGAGATTATAGGAGATCATTAGATTTTTTTTTTTTAATTAAATTATATAGTAATTTGTTTTAGATGGCTTCCTTCGTCAGAGTAGGAAATAAAATTATTAAAATATAAATACGAGAGGTTGACGGATCCTTAGAGTCGAAGAAATGGATAGAAGCTGCCCGGTTGGAGGCACAACAAAGATATAGAGTTATTGCAAGAAGTAACGAAAAGACCAAGATATGAGACCAGAACAGATCAAGATTGGGTCAGGAGAAGTCGAATGGAGTGTTGGTCTTGCGGAGGCACCCACAAGTTACATTACTGTCCAATGGCGGCGTTAACCTCCGACAACAATGCCCTGCTATCGGTAAGGGAGAATATTGACCAGCCTAAATCTTTCACACAAGTGGGTTTTTAAGGGAGATGGTGTTGTATTTATTCATTTTTTTAAATAATTAATTCCTTTTTTTATTAATTTTTTTATATTGTTATGTAATTACTTTTTTGAATATTATAATTAGTTATTATTGTGGTGTTTATTCATTTTTTTAATAAATTAATTCCTTTTTTTTATATTTTTATTATTATAATTAGTTATTATTATTATTATATGATAGGGAATTGTTAGTATATGTTAAAATTATTAATTTCTTTCGTTATTCAAATTTTTTTGGTTAAAAAAAATGTTATTTGAATATTAAAAGAAAAAAGATATATATACGAAACAAAATGATTTTAAAAATTATTCACCAATTATTATTCAATGAATTCTATTTCAAAATAAAGTTACCCGTACTTCTAAATACAAAAAAGGTTTGATGTTATATATATTTTAATATTTAATCTTCCTTTTTTTTTATATAATTCATCAACTTCAAAATGTAACAATCAATACAAACAGCAAATCGACAAGCAATGTTCAAACAACGATGTTTCACAAAAGATATTCAATAAACGATTCAAACGATAATCAGATGGTCAAACAAACAATCTCAAGGTATACGAACAAGTGACTAATGGAGCAATTGAGAAACAAATGACTGGAAGTGAAAATAAGAAACTGAGGTAAGAAGACAATTAAAAAAAGAGGGAAATGTTAATATATAAATTTTGAATATTAAAACTTTTACATTTTTCTTTTTAAATTAAATGACCTTTTCGAATTCTTTCTTACACTTTTTATAAAATGTAAGGAAGACCTTGTCGAAATTAATTTTTTTATATAACCTTTTAAAAAACTTGTTATATTTTAATATGTAAAAATGTAAATTTAAAATGTATATATAAAGCATAAAATGTTAAATATTTTAGTGTTAATAAAAAAAATAATAAAAATTTAATTTTAAAAGTTGCGCCCTTTCATACAAAATTATTATAAAATAAGAGATTTTGTTGGACAAAAATATAAGTCATAGGCGTACGCATCGGGGGGGGGGGGCAGGGGGACAAATCCCCCCCCCCCCCCAAAGCCAAAAAAAGCAGATGCCGGATATATTTTTCAAAAATATTATTGTTTATATTAATTTATATTTGTTAATATTTATTCGTATCTCATATTAATTATATATTATATTACATTTATTATCACATTCATAAGTTATTTTAACAATTAATTTCGATTTCAAGTTTTCCGGCGTAATATTTACTTATTATTTTCAAATTTTTAGTGGCGTAATATTTATCTACCATTTTCAAATTTCTAGTCAATAATAATTATTTCTGAAACTTCTGGTCCAACAGGGAAAAAGAAATTGCAACCTTGTCCAACGAGATAGAGCCTCTTCCATCAAGCACTAACAGCTATTAAGGAGTTAGAAGAGCCAATTATTTGCTATTACTGAAATATTACAATGGCCTGAAAGAAATATTTCCTCAGAAGCAAGAAAATTATTGGATTCAATGCTTATTCCAAATTTTATTTCTCATTAGAATGTATTATTTAATTATACAACTATTTTAAGTATTACTTTTCAAAAACATGATAATGATTTGATTAAGAAGATGAGAATAGCATTTTATCAGAACTCAAGGAAATTAGGGCTAATGTTGATGAAGAATTTCATATTTTATATTTTATTGTTGAGTCAAAAGCAGAGCTATACGTGTTTAATATTTGTCTCCCTCGACAGCAAGGCAAGCTCATCGTTAAAACATTAATATAAGATCAGTAGAAGAGTTTATCTTAGATGCAGATACATTTATAACTCAAATAAATGAATTTTCAATATATCATGTAGCATTTACATCTGCAAATATTACTTCCACAAAAGCCTTCCCAACCTTTTTCAGATGGTGATAGAAAAAAAAATATTTGTTAGATTTTTATTATGAAGATGTTAAAGTATCTTATGATGCCTTACTAGCTGAATAACTATGTTTATAAGATTAACTATAGTTGATATAGTCCCAAAAAATGCTATGGATGCTCTGCATTATTTCAAACACATTTTAGATTAAATTCTCAATGTATTAAAAGAGTTTATAAACTCTTCCCATAACTAATGAGAGAACACTCTCTTTTTTAAGAAGAATAACAGAGGCCTGCAGAAGTACCATTTGCAAGGCACGGCCCGGATTTTTTTTAAAGATTTTTTACGCTATTTTTAAAAATTTTTTTAGGCCGCTCGGCTTTTTTTAAAATTTACAGGCTCGGCCCGGCTTTTTTTAAAATAAAATTTTCAGGCCTGGCCTGGATTTTTTAAAAATAAATTATATTTATTTTTGATTTTTATAGCTAATAATAACGATTTCAAATATAGGCTGTTTTAAAAAATACAGCCCGGCTTGTATGTTTTTTTAAAATAATTTAGGTCCGGCCCGGGTGTTTTTTAAAAAAAATTTTGGGCCCGGCCTTGAATTAAAAAAATTATAATATTGTCCGGCCCAGGAACCGGGCCTGCAGGTCTCTGAAAAACATACCAAGAAGTACAACATGTGAAAGTAGATTGAAAGGTTTGGATTTTTTGAATATTCATAGGCATTTGACGACAAGCAAGGGTGAGATAATTGAAAAATTAGCTCAATTCCAACGAAGATTGGATTTTACATTGTAAATATATAACATACAAAATACAATTATTCCTAAGAAACTTTTTGTGTAAAGGCTCAATAAATTCAAATTTCTATTTTGGGTCATTTAAGTGATTCTTTACATATAATTTTTTTATAATTCACATTAATTCAAAATTGTGTATTAGAAATAGTTATTAGTCCTAATAAATTTATGCTTGATATTTTTAAAAACAATAATATTTCTCAAAAAAATTTATTATCCCCCCCCCCCCCCAGACCAAATTCCTGCGTACGCGACTGTAAGTAATTACTTGTTTATCATTTTCGAATTTTGTGGATAGCTAATTTAGATAACAAAAGAGAAGGGCAATTAAATTTTTTAAATAAATTATTCTTTAAACACCCACGGGAGAAGAGAAGGGGGTGGGGCCTAGATTGACATGGAAATATTTACCCCGGATTGTCTATGCCGGGTAAGTATGAAAATTTTAGACCCATTGTTGTTGGGGAAGGACAGAAAATTGTAATGCTTATTTATATAAAAAACTACGTGAAGAGTAAATAACATTGGGGGGGGCCTCTGTATTGTAGTCATTATTGTGGTCCTCACTCAAACATATAATGGGAAGGAAGAGTATTTTTGTGCCGTATTGTCTTTAATCACTTTTTTCTATATAATTTTAAAATATACTCAAAATAAATAATAGTTATAATAAAAAAATTCTGAAAAAAAGTGTAAATCAAAATCATTATAAAGAAATATTTTATACGACTAAAAGCCGCCACATGAGGGCCATAAATCTTCCAATAAAATTTATGGGGAAGATAGGTATTCACGTTATCCCCTTAATAAATTTTGCCCTTGTTCATTAACTCTATGTCGAGATCTATATGTAATCAGAAAATGATAAACAGAAAAAACTCCAGATAATATTATTTTAGATATATCATAATAATTGATCTTTTTAATGAAGCTTGAAGCCATTTTAAAATATTAATAAAATTGATTCAATTATATTGTACCGCATGCATCTTATTAAATATATTATGTGGCGTTAATGTCATATAATTATTAATTTTTCGTAAACCAAAGTAAAATCCCCGTTTTTTATATTAAATATAAGCTAATTTAAACTCATATTTAAAAAGATATTAAAGTTTCTTACGGTATTTTCATAGGATGTTTCCTTATAAAAATCTAAACTACTCATATCTCCGAGGAAAAAAATAGTTTTTAGGAATAAAGAAATTTCTCAATATTGGCTCTGATAGGTAGTATTTTTTGTAGTCCTAACTGTCTTTTTTAATATACATTTTAGTTTTCTTACTGATGGAAACACAAGATGGCTATTAGTGTGGTTAATTAGCTGGTTTTACACAACCACGACTCTGGTTTTTGGTTGAAAAAATGAACCAAAACCAAAGCAACCAAATTGGTCGACCTGGTCGACCAAATCTATAGACCCGAGCACCGACCCAAGCACAGACCCGAGCATCAACCCGAGCACAGACTCAAGCACAGACCCGAGCACAGACCCGAGCATCGACCCGAGCACAGACAAGAGCATCGACCCGAGCACCGACCCGAGCATCGACCCGAGCACGGACCCGAGCACAGACCCGAGCACGGACCAGAGCACAGACCCGAGCATCAACCCGAGCACAGACCCGAGCACAGACCCGAGCATCGACCCGAGCACAGACCCGAGCACCGACCCGAGCATCGACCCGAGCATCGACCCGAGCACAGACCCGAGCACCGACCCGAGCACAGACCCTAGCATCGACCCGAGCACCGACCCGAGCATCGACCCGAGCACCGACCCGAGCATCGACCCGAGCACAGACCCGAGCACCGACCCGAGCACAGACCCGAGCACCGACCCGAGCACAGACCCGAGCATCGACCCGAGCACAGACCCGAGCACCGACCCGAGCATCGACCCGAGCACAGACCCGAGCATCGACCCGAGCACAGACCCGAGCATCGACCCGAGCACCGACCCGAGCATCGACCCGAGCACAGACCCGAGCATCGACCCGAGCACAGACCCGAGCACCGACCCGAGCACAGACCCGAGCACGGACCCGAGCACCGACCCGAGCACAAACCCGAGCACCGACCCGAGCACAGACCCGAGCATCGACCCGAGCATCGACCCGAGCACAGACCCGAGCATCGACCCGAGCACAGACCCGAGCACAAACCCGAGCACAGACCCGAGCATCGACCCGAGCACCGACCCGAGCACAGACCCGAGCATCGACCAGAGCACAGATCCGAGCACCAAACCAAATCAACTTATAATAATTTATTGTTAATGTTTTGCTCAATTTTATGCATAGAGGACGAATATTTCAATAATAGTCTTTTTAAAAAAATTGTATATTTATATTCTGAAAATTAAAAATTAGAGGACGAGTAATTCAATTTCATATTAATTAAATAATTGATATGGAATTCAAAATAATTACCTTCTAAGACCGTGAAAAATTTATTATAGGAATTTATCGATTTTTAGATATTTATAATTCATATATCATCGAAAAATGAGGATAATTTATGTTGATTTAATTCTTACCCTAAAGTTGTAAAAAATGGCTAAGCCTCAAACAGATTAGATATGCTGGCTCAGGAGTTGACATAAGTCACCTCAGGAGTTGACATTAGTCACCTCAGGAGTTGACTCTACTTTAATTTTAAGCTGAAATGCATTTATTTGTTGTTTAACTCTAATTCGATAATGGATATTACAAATTAATGTATTGTATAGCTTAAAATTGCCTTCCCATCAAAATATTTTTACATTTATCCAAAATATTTTGGGATATTCTTACGAAAACAGAAATCGATTGAAGATTTCGACATCAGGAAAGATGGAGAGGATTTGATACCTTTGTCTAGATATTTTTTTGGGAAAATGTTTACCCCCAACCTGTCATGATTTAAACCACCAGAAGACATAGATTAATGATTAATTTGAAAACTCAAATAATCATGCTTCACTTAAAAATAAAAATATATAGTAAAAATTGCTGAGCTATATATTATATTTTCTAAGAAATTTAATTTTGAGAAAATTAAAATTTTTACTTGGCAACTTTTGAGAATTCAGTAAAAATTACTTTAAGTAGTAATTCTGAGTAATTAAGGGGAAAATAATATATGTTAAAGCTTTAACCTGTATGTATTACAACAACTATGCAATATATATTGGCTTACGCTTCATAATTACTGCTTGTCCTTGTGGCTAACTTCGTTTAAGACTACTTTTTAATATTAGATTCATACAAAATTTTTCAAAATATAACTAATATTTTATTTCTAAATTAAATAGACAGAAAAGATAAAAAAAATATATCTATAAGGATCGCAAAATCATATGATTCAAAAATATTCTGGAATTGGGGAAATCCCTTTTAATTTAGATGTAATTGATTTTGAATCGCCATCAAAATCCGATAAAGACAGTTTAATGAGTAATGTTATAGTTTTTACTTTTATAATTGTTTTTGGTTAGTGATTGGCAAATGATAAATTTATAAATATTAAGTACTCATCAATTAATCTTTTTAAAATGTTTAAGAGTGAGAGAGTAGAGATTAAAACGGCCTTTTTTTAGTCACACTTTATAGTTAACATTGTAAAGCGAAAATAATCAGTAATACGTATAGTTGTTAACATTTTTCTAAAAAGAATATTAATTTATGAAATATTTATTTCAAATTGCATAATATATTTGTTTATTAGGATTAATTTTTATATAAATTAACCATTTATCAATAAAATATTCTAGTAACTGAAATTTTATTTAATTCTTCTTAATTTATATATGCCAAGGTTCAAAATAGACCGGGGATAGTGTTATCACATTTCATTTTTAACTATTGTAAAGAAAAAAACTACTTAGTTATTCCACACCTAATCCCCATAAAAATAGATCTTATGCACACCTTAAACTTGATTATACAATATTTATTAAATATTGTAATGACAATAAATATATATATATAATCTTAAATAAAGTATATGTATTATAATTTTGATCTTAAAAATACCCCTCCCCCTCCTTCCTTGATTTAATATTTTTAAAAAAAAAAAAATTATCTCTTTCAAATGAAAAAATTAACAATTCTATTTCTATTCATTCTACTTAGTGTTGTTAATTTGCTTGGTCGTAAAATATACGACCCAAATTTGTGCTAATACTTGCTATGAGCACGAACCCCGAGCACAGACCCGGGGATTTTTTAATTATTATATAGTCCTGCTCCTGCAAAAGCTAGTTAGCTTCGGGATAAAAAAATTTATCTCGGGTCGTTTAATTATAATTCCATATATTTTATAATTCCCCATTATTGGTCTTAATAAATTAGTCAGAGACCTGCTGGTCCGGCTCAGCCCGACCTGAGTACACTGGCCCCTATTTTAATTTTTTTAAATTAACCCAGGCCGGGCCTGAAAATTTATTTTAAAAATAATCCGAGGCGGACCCGTATATTTTAAAACCAAATATTTTAAATCGCCATTATTAGCTATATAAATCTAATATTTTTAAAAAAATCTGGGCCTGGTCTGAAAATGTATTTTTAAAAATATTCAGGCCTGAAAATTTATTTTAAAAAAGCTGAGACGGGACGGGCCTTTTCGAAAAAAAATTTGAGAAAAAATCCAGGCCGGGCCGTGCAAATGGCACCTCTGCAGGTCTATGAAATTAGTGCCGAAGTTTTTAAAAAGTAATGTTTCTGGCCAGCGGCCCAGAGGGCCTAATATCATATTATCTAGCTGTCATAAGTTTTTAAAACGTTTTTAATAAGCTTTGTAAAACAAAAAAATATTGCCTTTTTTCCTAATAATAAATTTCAGTATTGTAAACAAAACGATTGCCTAAATAATTTAAATATTGTTTATTTTCATTAAATAAAATCGCAAAAAAAATTTTTTTTGATAAAATAAAAAATAAAATGAAGGATAAATAATTTTTTTTAAATTTTGAACTTTTTCCCCCCATTTTTCTTATTATAATTTTATCTAACTTTTTATGAGCCATATTAAGCGAAAATAATAGGGGGGGGGGGGGAGAAATTTGTTTATAAAAGAAAATATTTCTTTACATAATTACTAAAAAATAAATACTTCCGATTTTTTATAAAATTATTATATGAATATTTCTAAATATAATATTTATGTAATGTGTTATTTGAATAAATATAAATATAATTATTTAAATGAATTTCGTTAAATCGATCACGATTTGGCCGACCCCTTTTCAACAGGGTTTCGAACCATTAAGTATAGAGGTTCGGTTCGTTACGGTTTTTAGTTTAAAATTTTATAAAGGTTTTTTCGGTTTTTTTTGAAAAAATTTAAATCGGTTCGGTTTATAATTAATTTATAACGGTTCTTTTCGGTTTGTTCCGGTTCTTATAAATTTGATTTAAAAAAAATTTAATAATAAACCATATATATTAATATTAGAGAAAAATCTTTAGAAAATGCTCTTTCTACGGATACCTGCGTAGCTGGAACTGTTAGCACAGTTATAGCTTACTTATAAAGTTCTGGCATACTATTCTTTACATTTTCCCAATAATTCAAAAGATTTGTATCTTTTTCTAAAATCTCTATATTATTAAATGACCGAATTATATATTCTCTTTCTATACATTTATTATAATTTTCTATGCCCTGCTGAGAACCGAAGCTTACTAGCTTTTGCAGGAGCAGGACTATAATAATCAAAAAATCCTAGGGTCTGAACCCCGAGCACAAACCCCGGGTCTGTGCTCGGGGTTCGTGCTCAGAGCTGGTTTAGTCGATATTTTAGACCCAAACCCCGGGTCTGAGCACTACACAACCAACCAATTAACAACACTAATTCTACTTTTGAATTCTTTTGCCGAAAAAAATTTAAGTTTTATTTTATTTAATATTAATAACTTCCGTTTTTTTACTTATTTTTTGTTTTTTCAGTAATAGCATAACTACCAATTCTATTCCCTCCCTTTTTTTATAAAAAATAATAAATAAAAAAAAAATATTATTTTTTAGCTAACTCTATGAATATGGATTTTTTTTTATAAAAATTAGGGGGTAATTATTAGTTCTTCTTTGTCTTTCTTTCCTTTTCTTTTTCTAAATTTAAATTCAATCTGGGTAAAAATATAATAATTATTTTAGACAGAAACATTTTTATAAAAGAATTACAAAATTAAATATAAACCATCTCCCTCCCTCCCTCTTTTCTTTACTTTAGTAATAAATAATTATATATTTATTGTTTTTTATAAATCATAGTAATAAAAAAAGTATTTAAAAGTGAGAAAATTTATAAAAAATTCATTTTGATAAAATAATTTTATTTTGATAAAAAAATTACTTCCTCTTTATATTTTAACCTAATTTTCTACACTCTACTGGACGATTATTCTATTTTATTTTCCTATACGTAAGTTTTGATACCTTATTTTCTTCTAATATTATTATATTAATATTATATGGTGCATATAAGTCAAATCTACATTACCTTTTCATCTCTATTTTTATTTCCCATGGGCGTTTAAGTAAGGGGTTTTGCCTCTTGCGCGCACGGGTAACCGCGGCCTTCCCAAAAAACGTGTATGGTCCAATTATTTAAGTATTTCCCATCTTCTATCCCAGTTAGATGGGTTTTTCATGAGAGAACCAAACGTTGCTCTGTTGTATATATATTTCTGATATATATATGACGTTTTATGGCTAATGCGCTTAATTCACGTAAATTATATTTAAAAAATTTTT